CGGAAATGTATGGGCGTGACAAGAGACCTACTTCCCGAAGTTGGTCCACCCGGACAATTGGTCGGGTGTTGTGCGGCCTGTCGAACAACGTTGTGGCCAAGCGGACGTTCCAAGTGCCTCTTGCGGACATGTACAAAAAAAAAAAAAGAAAAGGAAAACTCCGCCTTCTTTTTCGGGGAAAAGATGGGGTCGTCTTCCTGTGCGTTTTCAAAAGAACTTTCTGGCCTGCAAACGCGGCCGGCTCGACACGTCCACTTCCATTTCCACATCCGCGAGAAAAGAGGGCCCTCTCCGCCTCACGCGGAAAGAGGTGGGATCCCAAAAAAGGCCGTTTCTCGCCAAAAAGAATAGAGGTGGGATCTGATTCTAAGATGGGTCTCGCGTGACGCCCCGGCGAGGCCCGACTTGGTGTTGGGAAAGCGTTCGGGAACGCCGGGGGCATGGGCCCAGCAGAAACCGGCAGTTGCGCTGCAGCCTTTTTTTTCGCACCTCTACTCTTGCGTTTCCCCCGGTTTTTTTTTTTCACATTCTCGTGTGCTGGGTTTGGCATGGCGATGCGCTTAGGAGGGACTGCGGTGCAACGCGACGGGGAAGCTGAAATGTTCTGTCGCGGGGCTGGCGGTTTTCGGGTTCGATAGGGCTGAAGGATCCGTGCGCGGTTGGGTTTGTAGCGGCTCGGATGACGACAAACAGGGCAAGCAGGGGGAAGATGACAAGTGGGAGGAGGAGCGGCGAATGGGAGGAAGAGTGGCAGGAGCGTCATGGGGAGAGGGAAGACGAATAGGCAGGCAGAGCGAGATGGGGAGGTGGAAGGCGAGTAGAAGGAGGAGCCGCTTACATGAAACACGAAAAAAGTATGGAGAGATACACGGGCATTCTGAATGGAAGGGGGACAAGTGGTGTTCTTTCAATTCAGGCATGCGTGCTTGTACCGGCCCATGTTCTGGTTTAAATTCAGTCTCAATTTTCATCTTTGTTGAGCAGTCCTGCTCCGATATTTCTGTAGCAATCCCAACTTTCTTTCTCTCTCTCTCTCTCTCTCTCTCTCTCTCTCTCTCTCTCTCTCTCTCTCTCTCTCTCTCTCTCTCTCTGTCTCTCTCTCTGTTTGTGCCAATCCCGCACCGACATTTCTGTAGCGATCTCTCTCTGCCAATCTTGCACTAACATATCTGTAGATCCCAAGTCTCTCTCTCTCTCTCTCTCTCTCTCTCTCTCTCTCTCTCTCTCTCTCTAGATATCTCTCTCTCTCTCTCTCTTTTGATCTTGATATCTCTCTAGATATCTCTATCCACTCTCTCTCTCGATATCTCTATCCACTCTCTC